TTCTTTGGTGTGTGTGGAGGGGGGTTGGGGTGTGCAATCCTTTGTAAGGCGCTTGCTTCGTTTCAACAATCCCCCCCCCCCCACGCTCCCCCTCCCTCTCTCACACACACAAATCGTCCAGCTGGGGCAATGGCGCGGGCTGCGCGATTGGGGGGAGTTAGCTGGATTACCCCTAAAAGCTCTTGGAGGAGGGACCCTCTGGACTAGTCTTCCTGCGTCCCTTGCCTCCCCTTGGTGGAGGGAGAGGCGCGCCCCGGCCTTTCCATTTTGTTGTATTCTCTTCGCTCTGAACGGGGGGCCGACCGGGGAGGGAGGGGGGCTCCGGCCGAATTTGCCACTTTATCGCCGGGCTCATTCCTGCCCCCTCCGCCGCACCCCCCCCCCCAATCTCTCCTCCCACCCTTCGGGCTTGTTGATTATGGAACCAGCTTGCCATCCAAGGGACGGTAACCTGAAACGGAGCAGCCCTTGACCTGTTGGAGGGTTTGGAAAAGGAAGCGCCCGGGCCTCTTTGGGGGTGTGGGAGGCTGTGTTTGTGTGTGTGTGTGTGTGAGAGAGAGAGAGAGAGGGGGAGGAGAGGGAGAGAATGAGTGTAAGAGTGTGTGTTCGTATTTGTGAGAGAGAAACTGTGTGTGTGTGTATGTGTGTGTGAGAGAGAGCGCGACCTTTGGGCACAGCGAGGGTCTTGGGGCGGTTACAGCGAGGTGAACGGATCGGATCTCGGGGCCGCGGGGATCCGAAGGGCTCCCTAGATGCGCAGCGACGAGGCAAGAGGGCTGAGCGAAGCAGGGCTCGGGGCGGCGTCTCTGCGGCGCCCGCCAAGGAGTCCCAATTGGGGTGGGGTGGACGGACGATCGGGGCGCCTGGAGGGGGTGGGGGAGAAGCGGAGGGCGCCGGCCTCGGCTTGCCTCGCAGGGCGGGACGCGAGGCGTAGAGGATATGCCGCAGGCGGCGGCGGCTTTCAAAGGAGAGGGGGGTTGGCGTCGAGGGGGGGCTCAATGCCGGCACTGAGGGTTCCCTCTCTTCTTTCTCCCGGCCTCCTGCAGCTGGACGCCAAGAAGAGCCCGCTGGCTCTCCTCGCGCAGACCTGCTCCCAGATCGGCAAGCCGGACCCCTCGCCTTCCTCCAAGCTCTCCAGCGTCACGTCCAGCAGCGGCGGCGACAAGGAGCCGTCCAAGGGGGGGCCCTTGAAGCTCAGCGACATCGGCGCCGAGGACAAGTCCAGCTTCAAGCCTTACTCCAAGCCCGGCGCGGACAAGAAGGACTCGTCAGGCGGCGGCGGAGGCTCCGGGGCCGCCTCCGGAGGGAGCTCGGGCGGTGGCGGAGGTAGCAGCGGTGAGAAATCAGGATTCCGGGTGCCGAGCGCCACCTGCCCGCCGTTCACGCCAAGGACAGGCAGCCCCAGCTCCAGCGCCTCGGCCTGCTCACCCGGCCTGCTGCCCGGCGGGGAGAGCAAGGGCGGCGGCGGGAGCAGCGGCGGCGGCGGCGAGGCGGAGAAGAAAGAGGCGGCGGAGAGCTGCGGCAAAAGCGCTTCTGACGGTGCTGCCCGCCTGGCTTCTAGCGGCGGCGGCGTTCTCTCCGCCGAGCTGAGCCAGAGCCACGAGGGCGCCAAGGGGCTGCTAGCTGGCGTCGCTTCGTCCGCCTCCTCTTGCTCGACGGCGGACTCACCCTGTAGCGCCGTCCCGTCGTCGGTGGCCGCCGCTGTGCTGAGCTCCGCCGGCTTGGTGGCGCCCGTTTCCCCTTACAAGCCGGGCCAGACTGTTTTCCCGCTGCCGCCGGCCGGCATGAGCTACCCAGGCTCCCTGGCCGGGGCGTACGCCGGCTACCCTCCACAGTTCCTTCCGCCGGGCGTGGCGCTCGACCACAGCAAGGCCGGCGGCTTGGGGGGCGGCGGTGGGAGCGGCGGCAAAGCGGCGGGCTCCAGCCCTCTGGCCGGCGCTTCGCCGCCGTCGGTAATGACGGCCAGCCTGTGCCGCGATCCCTACTGCCTGAGCTACCACTGCGCCAGCCACCTAGCCGCCGGCGCCGCCTCCTGCGCCCACGAGCAAGCCCTCAAAACCGGCGGCTATCCGCTGGTTTACCCGGGGCCGCCGCTCCACGCCGGCCCGCCGTCGCTGGCCGGCCACCCACTCTACCCTTACGGCTTCCTGCTGCCCAACGACCCCCAGCCGCACAGCTGCAACTGGGTCTCGGCCAACGGGCCCTGCGACAAACGCTTCGCCACCTCGGAGGAGCTGCTCAGCCACCTGCGGACTCACACGGCCTTCCCCGGCCCGGCCGACAAACTCCTCTCCGGCTACCCGAGCTCCAGCTCGCTGGCTGCCGCCGCCGCCGCAGCCATGGCTTGCCACATGCACGTCCCCACGTCGGCGGCCGGTGGGCCGGGCAGCCCCGGCGCCCTGGCTTTGCGCAGCCCGCACCACGCCTTGGGACTGAGCAGCCGCTACCATCCTTACTCCAAGAGCCCCTTGCCCACCCCGGGAGCCCCCGTCCCGGTCCCGGCCGCCACTGGACCTTATTACTCCCCTTACGCACTCTATGGGCAAAGACTGACGACAGCTTCCGCGCTGGGATACCAGTGAGTTTTTTCCCGGGGGTGTCGCCGCCTGAGGTTGGGGTGGGTTTTTTTTTGGTGATCCTTTAAGGGGGCGTCATGGGTGGGGTGGATTTGAAGCCACGCTTTCTTGGGGCGGGGGGGGGGGGGGAGACGGCCCAGCGTCCTTTGGAAAGTTTCTTAAAGAATGGATGACCAGACAAATTGCAAACTTGGACCTTTTTTAATAAATATATATATAAAGATAGTGTTCATCTTGAGGACTGGATCCATGGGCACTGTATCTATTTATGTTAGCTTCAAGCGGGACGATGAATCCATTAAAAAAAAGTGCATTAGCTAATTTCAGCTCGAATAGGCTTCAAGGAAAACAAAACAAAACGAAGTGGAAACACCCGTTGTAGAATATAAATCAATAAAAAGAAAACGAGAACTAGAGGTCTTCTCTTTAATGTTACTTTAAAATTGCTATGATTGTACTGTATTGTACGTTATTTAACGGTGGGTGGGTGGGGCAAACCCCCCTCAATGCATGTCTCTTTTTTCCAAGAACAACGCGGGCTTAACTTGCAATTTGTCTATTCCGATTTTCAAATTGCAGCGATTTTTTTCAAAGATGTACCCAGTGGCAAGAGAGAGAGAATTGGTATTTTTTCTATGTATCCTGGCAGAAAAGAAACCCAACCACCACCAACCACTCTTTTCCAAAAACCTCCGTTTGCCTTATTTTTATTCTTTTAAAAGAAACACTTGACTATTTTTTAATTTTTAAGTCCACCCTGTAGCTAGGACAGGAACAAGGGTGACGTCATGTATTTAAAATAAGACAATGTATCGCTTTAAAAAGATTAAAATTCTGTATATTTGATGTATTAAAAAAAGGTTTACTTTTCTTTTGAAATAACCCTTGGAGTCTGTTATAAATGCTCTTAATTACTGGGCGGATGAAAGTAAAGGAAGAGAAACAGCCATTGAAGGTTGATTATGCTCCGGTTTAATTAGTACCCGATACTTTTCTTATTGCAGCTGCAACGTTATTAAGCGGAACTGGCAATTTAAACTAAAAACAAAAACAAAAGCAAAGTCAGCTTCTGTTTTAAGGGGAAAAGGAAGGCGTTTGGCTTTCTGGGATTTGCCCACCGAGGTGCGGAAGTACGGCTGGGCTTTTAGGAAAGGAAGGAAAGGCGCCCTGTTTTGTTTTGCTTTTACGCGTGGCGAATGAACTCCTGGCTCCGTTTAGGGAAACGTGGGTCACGATCCAACCCAGATTCTGGAAGGAATCGTGCTGGCGGGTGGAATGAGGTCTCGTCCCATCCCGTTTTTGGCCCGAGCAAGAGAGACCTACCTGCTCAGGAGAACCTAAGATCGACCTTATGGCACGGATGGTCTTGTTTTTTTTCGTCCCAAAGGAGCGAAAAATGAAGAAAGAGACACGTGGGGTGCAGATTTTTTTTTAACACGAGGGGGCAAGTCCCTTGGATTCCTAGTTAAGTGGGATGGGGGAATATTTTGAAACCCGGGTCAGTTTGGCCTGATGGATGCAAACCCAAGTGGCGGCGAAACGCACTCGTAAAATATTTCATTTCAGGCAGAGCCGGGGAAAACAGATCTACAACTACAAAATCTTGTTAGATACGTTGTGGCAGAAAAGCGACCAACCCGTAGATCTGCCATATTCGCACATGCTACATTGGGTTTAGCGTTAATTAACCCTGGGTTTAAAGGATCTTTCGGAAGACTTGGGCTGGTTTGCGGCGTGAACCAAATCCCTTTGCTTTTAAAAAGAGTGCTTTTTCGTGGCCTTTTGTGTGTGTGCCAAAGTAAGGGAGCTCATTTCAGCGACCCGTTCCGTCGTTCTTGTGTGAATGCGGACGCGGGGACGTGGAGGGACAGATCGCCAGAAGTTGAGGGTTGGAAATAAACCCTGACTAAAGCCCTAATCCCCCTGGTCACTGATGCGGAAGTAGCTGCGTCGAAAAGGGAAGGGGGGTCGTAGCTCTGGATTGGGGGGGGGGAATTGTAAGAAGCCCCATCTCCTAAAATGGGAATGGGGGAGGAAGATGCTTAATCGCTTATTTATCAGGCTTGCGGCCTGATCTTTTTTTTTTTTTTTTTACTTCCGAGTAGATTTCTTCCTACAAGTTGAAGACCAAGAGCTGCCGACTTAGAGGTGGTGAGCGGACTTCAGAACGTCTTTCTGGCTTCCCTTTCCAGTTTATTCCCATCTACTATTTCCCCCTCTTCAAAGTTGAAAGTAGTAAGAAGGCGGCTTTGGCCTTGTATTGTTTACCTTCAATCCGGAGAGATTTTTACCTTTCCAAATCTGTTTGCGTTCTTATGCAGCGCTGGATGCAAAGGAAAAGTTAGTCGTTGAAAAAGCAGATCCGGGGAAACTGCAGGGACGGTGGAGCAGAAAAGCAATATATCTTTACAAAAACGAAAAAGCTGCTAAAGATTTCCCCCCCCCTCCTTTGGATGTAAATGGCACTCCAAAAGATGTGCAACTGGGCCTATCCATTGTCTTGCAAAAGGGAATAAAAGCAGAGAAATATGTGTCTGCGCGCACCCAAAACAGTATTTCGCTTGGGTTCTTTAACAATCGGTTCGTGGTGGTTTTAAGTCGGGGTAGGCTGGGTTGCTGGCGAAGCTGTAAAACTTCCCAAGTCAAACAAACAAAACGAAGGCAGGCAGGCTGACTGCAGGAAAAGAAGGAAAGGAGACGGGCGGGAATCAAAGAGGAGAGAGGCGAGCGTCGCACGGAAACATTTTAACCTTTATTATTATTATTATTCTTTAACGAGGATTATTTTTTGTTCCGCCGTCTTTGTCAAACGGTTACCAGATCCGAAGGAGCAAACTGGTCGCGGTGGGGGGGGGGCAGCTCAGGCTCTGCAAAAGTTTGCGTTTCCCCGGCTGTGACTTGGGGGTGGTGGTGTGGAATTGCCTTGGGACGGGATTCACTCTAACAACCCCGAAAGAACGATCCTTTCGTTGCAAGCTGCGGCGCCGGTTTGCGGCGGTAGCGTCCATCCCTCGCCTTTGATGGCGACTTTCGCTCTGCTTTTTTTGTCTTAGGGGGCCAAGGAGGGGCTTTGACTCTTCAAATAACTCACAAATCAAAGGGCTTTTTTTAAGGGGAGGGAGGCGAGACGGCCAGCAGAGAGAGTGTGATTGTGAGCGACTTAAGTCGTGGCTTGGCTTGAGAAGCGAAGGACTGGATTTCCTCCAAAATTGGAGCTAAGGACACTTGTTGGCGTGTTTTTATGTATCGCGGGGCGGTTTTTAAAAAGGAACCAAAATTCCCTTTTAAAGTACAAGGCAGAAACGCCCTTTTTAAGGTACAAGGTAGAAACAAACAAAAAATCCTCTTCTGGGAACACGTGTAGAGAGAACGTCGGAAAACAAAAAAGGGTTTTAATAACAACAACCACCTCTTCTCTTAAGTTGTTTCTTTACTGAGTCACCTAAGGCTGTCAACCTCCCCCCCATCTCGACCCGATTTCTCCCTGCAATCTGAGCAGAGGAGAAAAATCTGCAAGGGGTCATTCTTGGGCACAGCTCCCTGGATCGTACAGCGCGCCCCAGACTTCAAAGTGGGGCAATGGAGACAAGCGAAGGTAACACCCACTCTTCTTTCCCCCCACCCCGATCTTAACAGGTCTGCCGTTAAGTAAGTCTGGGTGATGCCGGAGTAAGACTTGGGCCAACTAAGCCTTGTGGTGCTCGGGGCGAAACCTTCTCCTTCGGAGCTTTTTCTTCCTCTCTGACCTAACCCTAAAAGCCGGGACTTCAAGGGACTGGCGGCGCTTGGCAAGGACCAGGAGATGCGTGGCACCAATCGCTACAGGCCCGCAGAAGCCAAGGTGGCCCTGCAGACCTTCTCTCGCTTCCCCGCCGCTTCTTCCACACCAGGAAAAAGGCTCCGTCCCTTTGCAAGGTTGCCGGGGCCTAGCGGACAAGCGCCATCTGTTTGAGAAGCGAAAAGCCCGGGAGGAGGAGGAGGAGGAAGGGGCAAGGGGGGGGGGGGACGGCGGCAATTGACTTTCGCGTCCCTGCGAGGAGAGCAAAGGCCGGCCTCGCTTGCTTCTCTGCGGCTGGAGACAGCCCGCAGCCTCCGCGGCGGAACCCGTGGACGGCGTTCCCACGACTCAAGTTCAGCTGCCGCCGGAGTTAAGTCTGGGCCAAGGCATCCGGCGA